AGTCAGGAGTGCCGGGCTCGAAGGCCCGCCCGTTTTGGGCTTTGTTGAGGGGAGTCAGAATTTGGGCAGGGCTGAGAACTGGAAAAGCAGGAAATTATATTTTTCACAGCTGTGGATCAGTGTAGCCCAACCAGGCTCTTCTAAGTGTGGTGGACAAAACAAGCAACCAATGATGGCGACAATAATAAGTGTTCCGACCAGCTGATGTGAGATAGCCGGCCACTGGTAGGGACTTTCCAAAACCATGTAAACCCCTGATCAAGCCCTTGTAGAAACGGTTAAACACCCTATAAAGAGCCTTATCAACAAAGCCTTTTCAAGCCCTTTATTTTTAAACGGTGTTTTCAACCCGTTACAACCGCTATCAAGGCATGTGGCAACATCTACAACCATGAAGAATTATTCTGCTCAATTCCTATACCTTAAGCCCTAAACACTATACTATTTGTTCTGCCTAATTCCTATACTTTAAACCCTAAACATTATACTAGACCCTAAACCCTAAACCCTCTAAAGCCCAAGGAGGTGGCGATGAGGAGCTCCAGGAAGGTCGCCCCAAAGCCTCTCGGAAAGCAAAGTTCTTGTTGTACTGCTTGGGTTTAGGGTTTAGGGTTCAGGGTTTGGGGTTTAGGGTTTAGGGTTTAGGATCCATTAGCTCATGGGATTCAAACACTGTTTAGGGTTTAGGGCTGGTTTTAGGACGTATTCGATTGTGGGGCGTGACACAGGGTTAAAGTTCAGGGCTTAGGGCTTTTAGGATTTATTAGCTTGTGGGCCTGGGGTTCAAACAGGGTTTAGGGTGTAGGGGTTTTAGTTTTGTTTAGTTTATGGGGCTCAAGTGTTGGCCTGAATAATAGTATTTAGTATTTCGTGTATTCTGTCTAACCGCTGTCAGGCCCATGTAGTGAGGCTTTCATGGTTTCTAAGATTTCAGGTGTCAGGGCTTAGGGCTCGTATTTGTTGGTTTCATACACGCCCCCCCCCCCGCCGGGTTTAAGCCCAATATACGACACCATGAGCCCTGTTTCTGATATATTGAGTCCACGGTTGAGGTTTGCGGTTCTAGGATCACTGTAACTTCAGCCTGCGACAGCATGGCAGCTGTCAAGGTAGAATGAATGGTTCCTAGTGTCAGTAGCACAGGAGCACATAGACCTTCAGCCTGTATTTACTTTAGTTCTGCGTGACTATCCTTGCTCACCACGAAACCCATGCCGCCCCCTCTAGGTACATTCCGAAGTACAGGGTGGCGTGTGTCCTTTTTGGTTTGCTTAGATATCTACGGTTGACACCTTGCAGTACATCCCCGGCGAGATCTTTCTGTTTAGGGTTGTGAACCCACCTGACGCTCCGACACACATGCGTGGAGCGGCACTGGACTTGGTGATCGCAAGACCAGGTTTGGTGTATAATATCCCGGTGCAGAACAAACAGCACTGGTCATGTTCAAGCCGCGATTGGCGCTGCCCGCAGCACGGAGAGACGATTTCGCTACCACTGGGCTCGCCACATCGTGCACTGCAACCTTCGACACCCAAGACTCTCGGACCCGTCGTGTCAGGGACTGGGATCACTTAACAACAATAATAAGGATTAGTATTAGCATCTTATAACTATAGTATAAATAGTAGTAGCAAGAGCAAAAATTATGATACCGATAATAAGAATTTTGATAGTAATGATAATCAGAATTGACATAATAGCAATAATAAGAAGAAAAATAATATTACTAACAAAAACAATAATGACTGAGCATAAGCCACTTGTGTGTGTGTGTGTGGGGGGGGGNNGACATATGGGAGTTTCCGAAAATCAGGGGTACCTTATTTTGGGGTCCTTATAATAAGGATCCGATTATTTGGGGTACTGTATTAAGGTCCCCTATTTTCGGCAACCCCCATATACCTGGACCAAAAGTACGTAGAATAACAGCCTTTTATAGACATGGTGCCGTGATTTTGCTGGCTTTTGAGGGGGTTAGGTAAGGATCAGGGTTTAGGGTTTAGGGCGTTTTCGGGCGTGCTGGTGTGGCGATGAGGGCACTGGGGCCTCGGTTGACGTGGGAAACCTTGTTGCTCAAAGCATTTTGCTTGTGAAATGAACAGGGGGCAGGGGTCAGGGGGGCAGGGGCAGAGGCGGGGGAGGGAGGGGCAACAGGGAACAGGGGGCAGGAGGCAGAGCAGGGGGCAGGGCAGGGGGCAGGGGCGGGGGAAATTGCGCACCTAAACGCCTAAACCCTACCCCAATTCCTAAATCCCTTCTACAACCCCTTCAGGGAATCCTTAAAGGAACCCTTTACAACAATCCGAGAAAAACCAATAGTTTACAGACTTATATACACTCATACACCCTTTTGGAATCCAGTCGTGGAGCCTTCGCTGAACCCTAAAAGCCTCGCCACTATTGTATAAACCCGGAACCCTTATATAAAGGTACCCTTATAGGAACCCTTCAGGAACCGATCACCCCCCAAACCCTAGGCCCTAAAGGACCCAGACCCGAAGCCCTCAACCCTGTCACCCCAAACCCTAAACCTTAAGACCCGAAGGAGCCTTATAGGAATCCTTGCAGGAACCCTTTTCAGGAACCCTTAAAGGAGCCCTTATAGGAGCGTTCCTCTCAGCCCTTGAAATGGGAGTTTCCGAAAATTACGGTTACCTTATTTTGGGGTCCCTTTTTTAAGGATCCTATTATTTGGGGTAATATATGAGGGTCCCCTATTTTCGGAAACCCCCAAGCGATGGGAGGAGCAGGGCCTCTTTGGCCAAAAAGGCCTCGGTTCTCAAAGCTCCGGACACCCGGCATTTCTGAAAGTTTAGGATTCAGGATTTAGAGCTTTTAGGGGTTTCTAAGGGTTTAGGGGTGAGGCTTCGAGATTTAGGATTTAGGGTGTAGTGAGATCTAAGTAGGCTTTGGGGTGGATTCAGAAGGGTTTCCTAAGGGATCTCGAGGCTCTTCGCAGCAAGGAAGACGGGTGAAACACACTTTTGTATATGTTGTTAACCCTAAACCCTAAGCCCTAAGCCTTGCACTTGAGGACTTGAATGATACTGCTTCAAATGGTTTCCAAATATACCCTCAGTATCTATGATAGACCCCGAAACCTTATTCTGACTAGCAAGACCCGTAGATGGGGGGTTAACGCGCAGGGTTTAGCGATGTTGAGGCTTGTAGGGTTTAGGGTTTGCGCTGCCGCAGTTAGGACTGTAGATAGGGTTTAGGGCTTTATTACGACGTTACGGATTTGAGTTTTTTTCTGGTGGTTTTCGGAGTCAGAGTGCCAGGTTTCAAGACTTGGGTGTTGGGATGTCAGGTTCAGTATTGCATTAATGTTTCTCAAGCTATTCTTGGTGAGATGTGTGGCTTCGGGGGGGCATGTCTTCTATAGCCATCTTATGAATGCTTGTGAAGAAAAGCAGGGCGCCTCCGTTCGCAGAATTCGGTGTCAGGAAGAGGGTCTGAGGTTCTGTATCCGGTCCAGGAGTCAATGAGCTTACACGGTTCACTCTTTGTCGGTCGGGCGCATGGGTCCTAAAAGAGGGTTTGAGGTTCCTTATTGGGATTCTAGTATAATATACCCGAAAACCCTATTCAAGAAAAATTAAGGCCCCTACATTAGCTTTCCTTAGCTACCATATGAAACTCCCTGGCATCTGCTAGACGTCGAACCTGGCGACCCCTCGACTCCTAGACCCGTGAAGCCCCGCATGAACCCTAAACCCCTGAACCCTAAACCCCTAAACCCTTAAACCCCTGAAGCCCTGAAGCCCTAAAGTCCTAAATCCCTAAACCCTTAAGCCCTAAACCCCAGTGACAGTATACGCGAGTTTAGAGCGGACAGACATAAGCTTCCCTGCAGGCAGCAGCAGCAGCAGCAGCAGCAGCAGCAGCAGCAGCAGCAGCAGCAGCAGCAGCAGCAGCAGCAGCAGCATGGGTTGAGGGATGTTGGGGGCAGTTCACACGCGGTCATCTGGGAAAGTCTACTGTTTATATAGGCTGTTATAGGATGTATGATACGAAGTACTTAGGTTTTATATTATATGTCATGGTTTCGGTGAGTGTATGTAAGGCTCCGTGAGAGTGTTGCTGAGTGCATCTTTGGAGTGTTATCTGCCGGATGTTACTATCAACAGCACTATACCATACTACACCCTAAACCCTATAAACCCTAAACCCTATAAACCCTAAACCCTATAAACCCTAAACCCTGAACCCTAAACCCCGAAGAAGAAGCTTGACCCGGAACCTCTGGCCTGATTCTTCTCATCTCTAGTAGGGTTAAGGATTTGGGGTCTCTAGACCCTAAGCCCTAAACCGTATAGGGTTTAGGGTTTAGGGTGTTATATACATATATATATATATATATGTTTTTTTGAGGGGGGGTGTCTAGACCCTAAACCCTAAGCCAAAATAGGGTCTAGGGTGTTATAGTCCTTGTCTCCTGAACCCTGAAACCCTTTGAGCTCTCAAGTCTGTGCCTCACATGAAGTCATAGACATAGTAGCTCAGTAGGTAACCTTTAATCTTTTGGGGCTGATAGTATCCTACGTACAAGATTATCCCTTTCTGGGCATGGGGAATTCAGCCCCTGTGGTATACAACTTGCCAAGGCTCGCAACGACCTGACAACTGTCTTGGGATCTTGGGGGGTTTAGGGGTTTTTCGTTAGGGTTTAGGGTTTAGGGGTGCCCTGGAACATTATCCTCTGAAGCCCTAGAAACACATACACCGTGTGCTTTCAAACACTTTGTAGGATCTGCGGCTTCTACAAGGCTTTCTACCCTTATCGCACTACTTACAGATCCCTGTTTTGTAGGACCCTTAACACTTACAGATCCCCTTCAAGAAGCCGTGATAGACGCTCTTTTACTGACCCTTGAAAATTGCAGTACTTCCCTTTAGGAAGAACCTTTACATAGACATCCTTGTAGTAGGCCTTAAACCCTAAACCCTAAATCCTAAACCCTAAACCCTAACCCTCATGGCTGCGACGTGCCAAGGAGAAAATCGCCGAGGAGACCATCGGCTTCTCGGATCGTTCGGTTCGGGGCGGCGGTCGGGGAGGTCGGAATAAGGAGTCGCATTTTTGGTTCGGGTTTAGGGTTTAGGGAGTCGCATTGTTGGTTCGGGTTTAGGGTTTAGGGTTCATTATCCGAGTTATTATAGTATGAGATATACTTAGAAACCCCATTCCTATGTAGGTTCAGGGTTCCTTTAATGGGGGCTCTGTAGAGGGCTCTGACAGGGGTCTACAAGAGTTTAGGGCTTTTTCAGGAGGAAGGAGTTTTGTAAAATTCTCCACGGTGATGAGGAATCATTCACACCAGGCCTGCACGTCTTCTTCCACGTAAGACTAGTATGTTACCTTATACGAACCCAAAACCTACATTTTTGTAGGTTCTTATTATAAACCCTAATATGGGATTTATAGGGACCCTACAAAAAAGTAGGTTTTGGGTTCTTCAGGTTAGACCCAGACTGTGCGGGCCGTTGAAATTCTGAGCTTTTTGAAGATCACCCTAAACCCTAAACCCTAAACCCCAGGTTTAGGGTTTAGGATTTAGGGTTTAGGGTTTCTCGTCCATCGCAGCAACTATTACTACCTCTCAGTAGACCTGTGGAAACCAAGAGGGGCTCTTCCTAAACCCTGAATCCTTCTCGGAACCCTTCTTTTAAAGGAGATCTCAACCCGAAGCCCGTATAGGAATCCTTATAGTAACTCCACATAGACCCCATTTAAAGGAACCCTGAACCCTAAGCCTAAGACCTATATTAACCCCTCAAAGGGAACCTTCATAGTAGCCCCAGGTAGATCCCAATAATTGAGTGAAGCCCTAAACCCTCAGCGATATAGCAAGCCTTCAAAAGGAACCTGCTCCTAGACCCCAAATCCAAATCCCAAACCCCTGAACCTAAAACCCTGGACCCCTAAACCCTAAACCCTGTGAGTTTCGCGTTTTGGGAGTCTTTCAACCGCAGCCCAACAACGCAGAACCGCAAACACGACAACCCCAACGCCCATAGCCCGCCGGCTCTATGTACACCCTAAAAGCAAGCGTACTAGGTTGAGAAAGTACTTTACCAAAATCAGGGGCCTAAATAATCACCAATAAATCTTGGGGTGTTCCTGATTCTAACTATAGTATGATTTCAGAAAACAACATAATACGGGCCTGCGTTTTGTCAGTTCAGGCAGAAATTTACACCAAAAGCCCTATTCTAATTATGAAGGCCGCTACATTAAGTCCCGGTTCGGGTGGAGGCCTTAGGGAGGGGTTTGGGGACTTTCGGTTTACCATAATCTAGGGGCCTAAACAATTACCAATACTACTTTTGGGGGGTTCCTTGTTATAACTATAGTATATTGGCTCCTTATTATAACTATAATATAATGGCTCCCAAAACCGGATTCTAATTATTCAGGGCCCTATGTTACGCAGCCAAGCCTTGATCCGTGGTTCTGGGCTTCCGACCGCCCCACGGTTTAGGGTTTAGGGGTTCTGGGGTTAGGGTTTAGGGTTTAGGTTTTACGGTTTAGGGTTCAGGGGTTCTGGGCCGTTCTGCGGTTAGGGTTTAGGTTTTAGGGTTTAGGGTTCAGGGGTTCTGGGGTTCTGTAGGCATCAAGCGTCAAATTGCATGTTTTTAAGCCATCAAACAAACTAGGTATCCGACAGGCAAAGCCTGAACTCTAAGCACTAAATCCGAATGAGGCTACATACCACAATAACACATTCCCAACATTCCGACTCCCGAAAATCAAACCCCGCCTTCCTGCGCTTGTTTTACAAGCCTCAAGAGTTCAACCCCTAACCTCAAGCCTGGAACGGGAAGCTTTGGTGTTTCGAGATCCTATGTTTTCATATATAGTATAATGTACTCCCCAAAGACCCAATTCTAATTATTAAGACCCCCCATATTGCTATAGAGGCTTGGCTGGTTGAGTATAAGACCCCTTTCATGTAGAGTGTTACAAAGGTTAGAGGTCTTATAATGTACTAGGTTCTTATATGGGTCCCGACCAATTTTCAATCAAGCTCCCCTTCTACCGCCCCTGTATCCATATCATACCACGATATACCGCGCAAACCCAGTCTGATGACTAAGACCCCCTACAGTAAATCGGGTGGCTGAAGAATTAGAATGGGTTCTTGGGATTCTTGGGGGGTATATAATATTATGTTTCTTCTCCCTATTTCGGAACTGACAACCCGAAGATGCCAAGGCAAGCGCGTCACCGCACGGCCCACGGAAAACGCGGAGCCAGTGCCAGGCCCCAAACCTCACCCCCTTATTGGGATTATCAACTCCGGTGATCCATGTACCCCTCAGCCGCAAAATCGCATCATGTGGTACATGTTCGAACCCCAAAGCACCCATATCTGGGAGCCCACTTATGGCCAAAGCACAGTACCCCGGACCCTTAGGCAAAGACATAACCCAGAGTTCGAGAAGGCTTCCTTAATGAGTGTAGGGCTTTGGGCGTTGGGAGTTTCAGGGTCTTGGGTTTTCAGCGTTTTGCGGTTTACGGTTCATTTTCGTATCTGTAACGTAAGTTATGAGCCTGAAAACTGCGCATACTTTTCCTCAGGGCCTGAGGTTCTGATGAGAACAATGGCATAGTATACCCCGAAACCAAGTCGAGATAATTCTGGCTCCTATATTATCTGATGTTCATGAGCGTAGGGTCATGTCGCTTTGCATCCCCCTTACGAAGCAAGCATCTACAGAGAAGGAACACCGCGAAAACAATCCCTATCATTTAGGCTTCGCGAAGGAGCTCGCAGTCAAGGTTTTCAGCCCACGGTTTTGGGATTTGCTACTTTCGGATGTCTGTTCTCGGAATGTGCCTAGTCAGGTGATGTACAGATGAATGCGCTTTGTGGCGCATGATTGGATGTTAAAGGTGTGGCTTACGTAAGAGGTCAGGGTATGCAGGCTTTTTTTGCAGGGGCTTTCCCTTTTGCATCTTCACCCATAGGCCCTAAGGTAGTTCTTTTTTGGGGTTCATTTCTCGAACCCTATAAGGTAACCCCAAAAAGGAACTATTATGGGGCCTATGAAAGGTGTCGGATTGGAGGTTGATATGGATCTAGGGTTGGGTCCAGGCCCGGAGGGTAGGAACCTGGTTTAAGGTTTAGGGTTTCTGCTTTAGGCTTTCAGGTTGAAGGGTAGGAACCTTTTGCTATTCCTCGTTCAGGGTTTTTTTGGCTGAAGGGTAGGAACCTTTTACTATTGCTCGTTAAGGCTTTAGGGCTGAAGGGTAGGAACATTTGATTATTCCTCGTCTAGGATTATGTATAGGGTTGAAGGGTAAGAACCTCTTATAGAAGCCTAGAAGCCTTCTAGCAGGTGTTGTGCGCTTCGTCGGGGCAACAAAATTTGCCGATGGCATCTGGATGGGCATAGAGCTGGATGAGCCCAAGGGCAAGAACGATGGCACCGCGTCCCGGCTCACAGGGAATCTTCGCGTGCATGGGAACTCGAAAGTCATTTTGAGGGTCAGTGCGGGGCGAAGAGCGTGAAACTGGGATATCCTGAGTTTCAAGACTTCGGAGAGTCATTCTCATCAGGATGTCTTTCTCTAGTGTCCATCTGGCTCCTTGACTTGCAAGCCTTTGTCAGGTCGCGACTTATCATCACTCCTGCAGACTGTCTTTCCAACGGATGGTCATCTCCGAAACGTCTATGTTTCAGCGTGATTCGGAGGCTGCCAAGTCGCATTGCTGACAACCGCGATGTCTGCTGCTCAAGAGTATCTTCTGCGGCGCATTTGCTTTTAGTGCGCAGTTGAACCTGAGCTTGTTGGTCTTGGGGAGAGCGAGAGAGAGATGTGTAGATATACATATATATATATATATGGAGAGAGAGAGAGAGAGTGTGTGTGTGTGTATATATATATATGTGTGTATATATATATATATAGGGTTTCGAGAAGCCAGCTGCGGGTGTCAGACAGCCTGGGTGATCACGACGATGCTGCTATGCTTTACGATACTATACGATACTATACTATATCGTACTTTTTCTATGCCATATTGCACTGTACCAAACCAAACTAAATTATACTATACTATACTGTACTAAACCATACCATGCTATAATGTAGCATACTTCACTATAGTAACCCTTAATTCCTTTTGCAACCCGACCTCCGGCCGACTGGGAAAGTCCCGGTTTCGAGTTTCAGGGCTTGGGGTTTAGGGTTTAGGGTTTAGAGTTTAGGGTTTAGGGCGCCGTGCCGGCCATGGCAAAGCCCGGCTTAGAGGTCTGCGTGGGCGTGCCCAGCGAGAGGTCGGCAGCCGTACCGGATGACACCTCTGAAGTCTCGTTCTACATGCCCGACGATCTCTCGGCATTTCCTCCAGGGTTCCCGGATGCCTCCGAGCTGCCTACAGACTCCGACGACTCCTGGACAGAGAAGGAGATGATCGACCGTTACAGTCAGTTCTTGATTGAGATGCAGGCAACTCGGCCTGAAATTTTGCGAGGGATCCGTACTTTTCAAGTCCTCCAGGAGGGCCCCCGACGTTGGATTCAAGGTGATTTGCACGGCCTCCATGCCTGCACTGAAGTGGTGACAGAGCTTGATGAGTTTTGGTCCCACAGCTGGCAACTCCATCCTTTGACGAAGTATGTGAGCCTACTCTTCGCCAGCAATGGCTTTCCGGCATTCGTAGTGGGCACGGCCACTGCCTTGGTGCCCTTCACGCTTTTTGCAGCAGGGATCCTGCCCTGGGATGCTAGCCAAGTCTTTGGGATATTTTATGTTTCCCTTGTTTGGCTTAAGAGGATCTTTAATTCCGAACAGTTTTCAAGTGCCTTAAATAGGGCCAGCCTAGGATAGATTATGCACCCTCTGTGGTGCGGCCGGCTACTACTTCACCCTGCTGCTTTGGCGGCAGAGGAGAAAGATCTTCCTGGACATTGCCTGCATCAACCAGACAGACCAAACCGAAAAGGCTGAGGGCCTCGTCAGCTTGGGGGCATTTTTGAAGAGATCTCGATCTCTACTTGTTCTTTGGGATGCCACGCTTGTGTCAAGGCTCTGGTGTATATTTGAGATGGCAGCTTTCCTGCGCAGCCACGGGTTAGACTCCCAAAGGAAGTCCTTCGTGATCTGCCCAATTTTCTCTGGCCTGGCCTACCTTGTCGGCAATTTTGGTTTGTGCGTGCTCTGCTCCATTTTCAGTTACTCGCTGTCACTGATGCCTTTGTTTCCGTGGGGAGGGGCGCTAATATCCGCACTGGCTGGTCCGTGCTTGACAAGCCTCATGTATGTTGTTCTACTGCACTATCGCAACGTCGACACCGTGCAGAGACAGTTGCAACATTTCACTATTCGAGACTCCTCTTGTGCCTGCTGTCCTGATAATCATTTGGATCCAAGATCCGGTGAGCGGATGTTCTGCGATCGCAGCATCATTCTCCGGTGCATTTCCGAATGGTTCGGTTCCACGGATCACTTCGAGTCTGTCGTTCGAGGCAGGCTGCGAGATGCGCTCGTGGAAGAACTGGCCAACCGCACCTTCGTTTATTGGCGCATCGTGCAGGCAACCAGCCCTATCCTGTGGATGGGACTGGACCTCTTGACAGACAACATCGTTGAGACACCGAACATTATTCTCAGCATTATACTGTATTGGCTGATTGTTGTCCCAAACTGTGTTCTACTTGTGCTCCGACTAGCCTACATGGCCAAACTTCTGTGCGATGGTAGGTTCGCGCGTGCATTGCTCGCCATCGGGTTGGTGGCCACTGGTGTGCTCATCTTCGGCACTTGTTTCGCATCTCAGATGGTACTTCTTCCTTTTTTTCTGCGTCAGTATATGGGTCCGGATCCAACTAAGCACATGCCTGCATGGGTGCTATCTACGGTGCTGCATATCTGCATTATTGGCCCTTGCAGCCTTCTTCTATGGCGGCGTGTGCCAGAGATTCATGCAGACACCCCCTCCGCGGGCAGCAGCGGATAAAGCGAAAACGGGCGCGCGTGTCATCAATCGGTACATATTCCAAGCTTTTCTGCCGTCTGCAAGTGGCATAAACACCTGAGTCCATCCCAAATCCCTGAGCCCTGAACCATTGACATAACTAGTTTGAGTTTGGTTCGGAGCCGCTGCCTGCAGCAGCGAACCATTCCGGGAAAAGGCCTGACTAGAAGTTTGCTGCCGTATGAGCACTTCGAGGTTCATGGGTAGTTATAAGTGGGGTCACAAGTCCCTTAATATGGGTTATAACTATAGTTGCCCTACTAATAATCCCACTTATGGCTACCCATGAACCTCCAAGTATGTCTTCATCATCCCTCCTACACCCCAGCTTCCACGGTCTACAGTCGCAACAGCCCAAACATGGAATTCAGAGGAACTGCAAAAGCTAGGTTTTTGGAAGGCTGAGGTAAACACCTAAGGCTGTACGGACTGTAGGTTCTGCCTTGACATGCGAATTTGATTAGGACTTCTATGTTGGGTATATGGGTAGTGCTCTAAACTCGGGTCCTTTTCAGGGTCCTTCCATATGTGCCGTACTATTTTGGGGCCCTAAGATGGACGTTTGGGGTTTAGGACTTTGCCAGGTACAAGAGGTGAGCTACTTCACGGCGAAGCCTCAGCCTTTCGGCGGCCTTAGTAGCTAGAACAGGGGTTCTTTACGTCTGCTCTTCAGGGTTTTATGATATAGGGGGCGACTTTCTTGCTGTGGTGTGGCTTAAGGTGCAAAATTTAGGGTCTGTGGGTTCGGGGCACTGTCTCCAAAGTAATCTCTCTTTTTCGGATCTGGGAGATAGCTTTAGAATTCACCACTGTTTCGGTTTGGGGCTAAGGGCTTAGGGAATTCAGATCCCTGGCCCGAACTATGAACTTGAGGCGAGCACGGTCTTCTCTGGGTCGTCGGGGAAGTCCTTGCAGCAGAAGTAGAAAGAAAGGAGCACTAAACCCTGAGGCCACACCCTGAACTCTGTTCCATGATCCAACTTCTTAGCTCCTGCTAAAGTCCAACATGCCCTCGAAAGGCATGGGCTCTTCGTGCGCTTGGGAAAAGCCGAGCCAATACTGGACTCAGCCGCTGCGTGGCGCCCTAGAGACCAGTGTCAGGCTCTAGGCCAAGGCTGCATGCTACATTTTAAAGAGGCTGCCGGGTGCATGGAGTGTTGGCTCCAGCCAGATTTTTCCAGATTTTCCTGTTGGGGGTGCAACGGAATGGCTCAACCCTCTGAAAAACCAGGATTCTTCCGTAGGGTTGCCGCAAGAAGAGTTCAGGAATAGAATGGGCCACCAGGATCTGGAAGTTTTCCTTTTTTTTAGCAATGAACAGGTTTCGGGTTTAGGGAACACCCCACATCACGCAGCCTCGGGGTTTCGGGCCTCACGCATACTTATATGGGAGTTTCAGAAAATTAGGGTACCTTATTTTGGGGTCCTTATAATACGGATCCTAGTATTTAGGGTACTATATTAGGGTCCCCTATTTTCGGAAGCCCCCATATACCTCATCTAGAATCTTTCTGCAGCTTCGTGTGGTAGTGTTAACGCCTGGGTTCAGCGTGTAGCTCACCCTGCGCCCCAAGCCCCAAACCCCAGAGCCCCACATCATAACAAAGAAAACGCTAAAATCCGAAAGCTTTCTTGCCTTGAAGCCCTAAACCCCAGCTTAATCCCCACAGCTCTACACTGTCAAATTAAACGAAACCTAAGTTCACCTAAGTTCTAACTCTTCGATGCTTCCTACGTTTTCCTGAGGCCCCTGAAGCCCGAAACCCGAAACCCTGAAACTCTATAAACCCTAAGAGGCCCCCTTCGAGGATTCGAGGATCGGATAGCCTTCTTGTATCATGGGCTCTTGCAATGGGAGGTGTAGGAATCCCTGCAGTAAGCATCCTGGTACTGGAGGTTCTACATATATATATATATATATATATACACACACACATATTTATGTGTGCGTGTATAGAGATACGCATAATGTATACATGTGTATATGCATATATATATATATATGTATGTATATAATTTACATACGTATAGATCTATACGGATTGTATAGGTCTTCTGTTTTCTGAAACTCTAAACCGTTCTAAACCTGTATGGAGGTTTCAATGAGGACACGTACCTGTAGGAACTTCAGAAGTCCTTAAAAATCACGTGCACGCCTTCCAACTCCTGCTTTTTCATGGATCGGTAGCTCTGCAACCCGAACCCTAACCCCTATCTACACCCCAAAACCCTAAAGCCTAACTCCTGACCACTAAACCCTAAAACGCCTAAACCGTACATAAACCCTAGGAGTCAGCTCCACTCAGGCTGCGAAGCGCCAAAGCACTCTGCCCACGGAGGCAGCCGGCGCTTGAGGGTTTAGGGTTTGGCCTCAGGTTTTATGGTCTGGCACTTTAGGGTTTATGTCGCGCAAGTAGCCTTTAGGGTCTATACTGTATACAGTATACGACAGTCCCTTGGTTGGTAAATCCGAAGCTTAGCTAAATAAGGCGTATCATAGGTAGCAAGGGCCGTTAAAGCGTCCTTCTGACACTGATGTCATCCTAAACCCTCAGCCCCAAACCCTAATCTTCGATACGGACTATGATAGGTGGTGACCCTAAACCCTGAACCCTAAACCCCCCTAAACCCTAAACCCTTAAGGGGGTTTCCGAGTCAGGATCTCTTTCGTGAAGCCTCTTGGTTCGGGCTTGGTCGCCGTTCCCTTGTGGGGTTTCATCAGCTCCAGAGATGCGGTTCGGGTTTGGGGCTTAAGGGTTTGGCTCGAGGGTTTGTGGTGTAGGGTTTAAATTAGAAATTATAAGTTCCTAAACCCTAAATCCTAAACTCTAAACCCTAAATCCGGAATCCTCAACTCTAAAATTTAAACCCGAAACTCTAAACCCTAAACCCTAAACTCTAAACCCTAAACCCTAAACCCCAAACTCCCAAACCCTAAACTCTGAACCCTGACTCGCCAAACCCTAAACTCTAAACTCTGCACCCTGGATCCTAAACCCCAAGCTCCCAAAACTCTGAACTCTGAACTCCTAAACCCTGGATCCCCAAACCCTAAACTCTAAACTCTGAACTCTGAACCCTAAACTCTTAACTCTGAACCCTAACTAAACTCTAAACTCTATAACCCCACACCCCCAAACCCTAAACTCTAAACTCTGAACCCTGGATCCGACTTAACTGCACCCATCCGACAGCCGGAGGCCCCGACAGACCTCCGGGATGGCTCCCGCGTGTCCGTGAAGACCTGGCCTTAGAGTTCCGAGTTTTAGGGCTCTTATAAGGCTGGTTTAGGGTTTTAGGGGTTTAGGGTTGAGGGGTTTAGGGGTTTAGGGTTTAGGGTCTAGGGTTTAGGGTTTAGGGTTTAGGGTTTAGGGCTCTTACTTGGAGGTTCATGGGTAGTTATAAGTGGGGTTATAAGTCCCCTAGTATGGGTTATAACTATAGTTACCCTACTTATAACCCCACTTATAACTACCCATGAACCTGCAAGTAGGGCTGGTTTAGGGTTTAGGGTCTAGGGTTCAGGGTTAAGGGTTTTAGGGGTTTGGGGTTTAGGGTTTAGGGCTCTTAGGGCTGGTTTAGGGTTTACAAGTAGGTTTAGGGTTTAGGGTTTTAGGGGTTCAGGGTTAAGGGTTTTAGGGGTTTAGGGTTTAGGGTTTAGGGCTTAGGGCTTTAGGGTTGAGGGGTTCAGGGTCTCAGGGTTTTGGGTTTTGGCTTAAATGATTTCCTATACTATGTTGGGGTTCCTTATGATAATTATAGTATAATGTACCCCAAACCCCTATATTAGGACTTTTGGGGATTTAGGGTTTATGGCTTTTTTTATAGGGATGTTTGAATTTTAGGGCTGTTTAGGGCTTTAGGGATTTAGAATTTTAAGGCTTTTAGGGTGTAGGGCTTAGGGCTTCCGGGATTTGGGAATTGTACGTCAGGATATAGGGCTTCAGGGTTTTAGGGTGTTCGGGGATTTAGGGCCTTAGGCTTTATAGGGTTTGTAGGGTTTTGAAGGCTTTTAGGGTGTAGGGTCGAGGGATGTAGGGTTTAGGGTTTTAGGGCTTTAGGGCTTTAGGGCTTTTCGGTCTTGGGTTAGGTGTGAGGGTTTAGGGTTGAGGGTGGAGGGTCACAGTTCCCTTGGGGGTCAGCCCGAATGCTGCAAGGACCCTCGAGAACTCCGCGGGCACCGTGCGATTTGTGGGCCAGACGGAGTTCGCAGAGGGGGATTGGAAGCTTGGATCGGTTTTTGAAGTGGGGACAAGCTTAAAGAATTTTATAGGTGCGTGAACTCTTCTTTTGGGAATCGTGGTGAGTGTACATGTTGGGCTTTATCATAAGGATACTGTTGACAAAAAAGCCCTACTTCATGCAGCTTGAGGTTTTAGGGATCCTCTAGAAGGTGTCAGGGTTCTTGGATCGCCACTGGGGCTTACAGCGGTTTCGTATACCCAGACCAAATATCCTTCATTCCAAACCCAGAGATGGCGAAGGGCAAATTCATTGTGGTGATATCGATATTTACTATCGAAAAGCAGTCCACCTACCTGCTCCTGCTTTGTGGCAAAGAGGGGGATAGCAGGATCTGCACTCCCGAACTCAAGGCATAACGAGTTTGATGGGGCTGATATAGCTGTATTGCAGCTTGTAGTCTGGACTAGGGTACTGTATAGGATCCTCAATCAAGGAAAATACATCCGTTTATTCCTTGGGATAGCCTTTAGTCTCTGGGGCTGTGGGCCCACGCGCGCATCGAATTCAACTGTCGCGAGACGCGCGTCTGGAACGCTGCGGGCGAGGAACCACCGGGCATGTCCGTGCTGCAAGGCGAGGCGGACGCCGCCGTGTGGGTTTGCGACTGGGCACTCCCGCCGGCCCAACAGGGACTCATGATTGTTGGCACGCCTTTTGGTAGACACGCCTACGTCCAACAGCGCCTTGAGGCCAAACGCGAGGAACACGACTGCCTCCTGCAACGCATCCCACTTGTCCAGGACCTCCAAGCGGCATGGTTGTTGCTGCATTACTTTGCTTCGCCGTGTGCCAACCTGTTTCGTTCCTTGCCTCGGCGGGACGACACGCCTTGCAGCCATTCATGCGGCGGCCTACCTGACTACACAGGGCTACACCGTGCCGGTCTGGAACGAGGCCATGTCCACTGTGCCCCGCCCCCCTTCCCGACAGGACGAGCCTGACGAGCATGCGCTCGAGGCGCACCCTTGCTGACTTGTCCCCTGTGTCCCGCGCCCTGTTGTTCTCGCAAGCTGGACCACACTCTGCCCGAGCACTTACGGTCTTGCCAACGTCGGAGGATGTTGTCGTTCCCACCTCGCACGTCCGTGTCCTGCTCCTGCGGCGCTTGCGCCTACCCCTTCCTCTCGGTTGCTCCTGCCGTGGCGCCTAGCGCGTATGGAGATCGCCGAGCTGCCTGCTCCACATCCGGCGTGCTCGCCTCCCGAGCCCTACCCCTCGAACGCGCCATCGCTGGAGGCCGGGGCGTGTGTCGGCCGCAACGTTGCGCGAGATGCCCGTCCACGATGCGCGGTGCATTGATTGCAACGACCTGCCGCTTTGGCACGGGGCGCAGCTGGCCGTCGATGCCACCTTCGTTAGCCCTGTGACACGCGATGGACGACCGCAAGATGGCGCGAATGCCCGCTCGGGCTGGGCCCTCGCAATGCTGCGAGACGCAAACGGCGGCAGACATACCCTGAGCTCGACAAAAGCTGGGCTCGAGGTCGGCGGGCGTTGGGCTGAGGAAGCCGCCACTTTCGTCCGCCTCCTTGCCCGTGCACATGCCGCCAGTGCGCCGGCAGCTGTCAGCAGCTCGGGGTTGCCTTATCTGCTCGCCGCCACCTTCCTCGAGCTGCCCCTCCAATCGGAGCTCGGTGTTGAAGGCCCGCCCCTAGCCTTGCAGGAGCTCCTTGCCGACGCTCGCTGGCAGGAGGCTCCTCAACCCAGCCGCTTCCCTGCCCGTGCTTAGAGCGTCACCCGCCGCCGTGGGCTGCATGTGGCACCGGGATCTGGATGCTTCTCTGACTTGCAGTCGCAAAACGGTGCGTCAGAAACAGAAAACACCTTATTTCCATTCTATTACGAGTACTTCTTACGACGACGACGACGACGCTGAGGACAACGAGTACCAGCACGACTACGGGCCCACTTCTGCGACCATGACGAGCATAACTACGATTTTAAGCCAGCGGTGACCACTAACATTATCCCTATTGCTTCCATTGTTTTTTCCTTCACGGTTTTTATACAAGGACAGGGACGGTTGTTTGTTGGACAAACGACCGCTCATACCCCTCCCACAGCCATCGCCAGTCGCGAATGGTGCTCGTCATTCGGCTGGTACCCAAAGCCTCCACCAACCACAAGGACAAGCACGGTTACTTATTCATCCATTATGAATTCGACGGCCACGGCGAAAACTACGACCACGCGATGATCGTTTTAGCGATCATTGTTGCTAGTTATCCCATTCCGTTTGCTGCACTGCCACTTCCTTCGACTGCTGCTACAGCTTTGTAGCTGGTATCATTCGTGCCATGTTTACAGCGGCTTTCACTACTGTTGTATTTGTATAGCGAGTACGAAAATTGTGTTTTCACCGGCCACGCCTACCACTAGCACCGCCACCGCTAAAAAAAATATATTTCGACCACTGCCCGTGCCAATGGCTACCACTAATTATTACTGTTGTTGTTTTTCCTACCGCTTGTAGTCCTAGCACGATTACGACCGCCACCACTACCACTACCACCACCACTACTACTGGTACTGGCACCACATTACTACTGCAGTTGTTGTTACCTATTGTTTGTTTGATGAATATGTGAATTTCATGTTTCCTACCAGAAATGAGCGGTAGCCCGATTGACAGCGTAGACTTGCAAGCAGTTAGGCTGTTTTCCCTGCGCCCTTAAAGGGCCGCCTTCGGGCGTTCAGGCGACTCGACTCGACTTTTGTTTGTATTTGTTTGTATTGTCATAACTCTTATTGTTATCAGTAGTACTACAATTTTTACTATTCGTATTGCGGCTGGTGTTGTTATGGTATTACCACAACCGCTACGACGACGACGATTGATACACGATGATCACGATAATTAACACTGCTACCACCACGAGTTTGCCGATTTGCTTTGCGACTGGACGGCGCTTGGACCGAGTATTTACGGTTTGGCCCAGGTCGGGTAATGTTGCCATCATTCCCAACTCACATTTCCGTGTTTTGCTCCAGCAGCGCTTGCGCGTGCCCTTCCTTTTTCGTGTGTGCAGTGGCTCCTGCCGCTGCGCGCGGGACGCGCACGAGGCCGGGTTGCCGAGAAGCAGGAAAGTGGACTCCACAGTCCTCTTGCGGGACGTGAACGTTGACGTTGACGTGCCCTTGACCGACGGCCGCATCGAGGGCTTGGCGAATGGGGTAAACCCATCTGGCAGGGTTCCCAGGCGGCCGTTTCCAATGTCACCAATCGCGCGGCGCGGCGGGCGATGCACAGCCGCATGCCGTGTCGCAGGCTCGGTGCTTGAGCAGGCGGCGAAACGCAAACGCAATCGCGCCTACCCGGAGCTGGCAGTCGCCCTCCGGTGTAGACTGTTTGTGCTTGGCCTCGAAGTTGGAAGCAAGTTTAGCCAAGAGGCCGTTGCATTCCTGCGGCAGCTGGCCAAATCTCGTGCCCGCGACGCCAGCGCGGCTACGCCCCACTGTGCAGCGTGCCGTTTTGCACCGATGGACGGGCATGCTGGCCGTGGCGG